GACATCCCTCGAAATATTTAAATTAAAAGTGATCCAGAAATTAAATCGATGATAATTTGCAAATAAGGTATACTTCAATAAATAGTTCCAATATATGATTTCTTACTGGAGATCAAGATTCAGTTTAGTCCTTCCAAAGTTTAACGATAAATACAGGGTGCGATGGGTAAATTATCACCATTTTATATTTTTAATTTTGCTTATACTTGTTTGTTTTTGATTTTGTCTACTTCACAGTATAGTAGGGTCAGTTGGGCCACTGTCTGTATGAAAAAGAGCACAATGACGCAATTCACACCACCAGAAATTTGGAAACGGCATGCAGTACTGCTTAACATTTGTGCTGGAAGCTGGAATAGTTTAAGAGTTTCAGTGTCTGGCGGTGATTACAAAGCTACAGCACTGATTGTTCCAATAAGAAAAGAACTCCCAGATTTGTTGGTGAGGAGGGCTATCTCAAGTGCCTTGAGGAGGTAGTGCTGCACTTTGTCAAAAGTCGCTGCTGGAAGACCCTATGTAATGCAATGGGACTCTGCATCATGCCACACAAGCAGGCGAACCCAGTCATGGCTGTCAAACAATATCTGCAACCACATCACCAAATACATCTGGCCATCTAACTCCCCAGAATGCAACCCACTTGATTACTATGTGTGGGGTACAGTTGAGCGAGAGACTAACTAAACTCCTTGTAACTCCAGATATGAACTGAAGGCAAGAATTATGGCAGCATTCACCAGCTAAAACAAGGAGACCACCCAAAAGAGATGCAGGAGATTCCGAAGTCGTCTGGAGGACATGGCTGAAGCCAATGGCGACTTTATAGAATAAATTTACTCTTTAGTATTTCAAGATATTTTTGTGTAATTTTGGTAAATATATATCTGTTAAAATGACATGTTAGTGTCACTTTCATTTGTATGTAATTTAGATGACAATTTATCCATCGCAAACTGTATACATAACTGAATCTTGTGTAACCCGATCATATCATGATATGTAGTCATTAGTTGAATTTCAATATGAAATTTTAACAGTATAATGTTTGCAACCTGCTGTGAATATTCAACCCTGAATTAGGTGCATTGATAAGAAAAGATGTTGAAAAATAAACGTTTGTTATGTAAAATTAATTATTTTTTATCATTAAGCTACAGATTTATTAAAATGCTTGCATTTATTCATATTTATCTGTCTGTATTTCTTTTCTTTTCCATGTATATATTTATCTATCTACCAATCAAATCATTCTCTCTAACTTTCTTTCAATCTTGCTTGCTTGGTATCTATCTATCTATTAATATTATGTCAATCCATCCTATTCTGTTCTTATTAATCTATCTTAGTCTATTAATATCTATCTATCTATCTATTTATCTATATTACCAGAAATAGATTTTTAAAAAATATTACCAACAATCAAATTTTGTCGGCATTAAATGACACATTGAGGTTGATATGTCGTAAATTGAAGGCAAACAAAACTAACCTTCCTACCTACCTACTATCTATCTATCTATCTATCTATCTATCTATCTATCTATCTATTATATCAATCGACCCTATTCTGTTCTTATCAGTCTATCTTAGTCTATTCATATTTTTATTATCTATCTATCTATCTATCTATCTATCTATCTATCTATCTATCTTAATTTACTCATATCTGTGCATCCCTGTTCATTATTTGTCTGTCTATCTGTCTGTCTGTCTGTCTTGGTCTGTTCCATCACTATATCTATGTATATATCAATATATATATATATATATATATATATATATATATATATATATCAAAAAATATACTTTATATGTTCTGAGTTTGTCTATATTTCTGAGATGAGGTATTATACAGTATTTACATTAGTCGGACTATTGTCCTCATCTTTTGTCGCCATAAAACGTTTTCGGCCGTTGTACGCTCCGGCCTTCTTTGGAGAGAGAAGGAGATCACCGCCACTGTGGGATCATTTGAGATTACAGGGAACACCATTGAAGTGTCGTAAACTTAAGGAATCAGCACATTTAACAAAAAATCTCCTGAGCCGACCAAGCATAGAAATAAATTCAATATGGGGAACCGTGAGAGAAAAGATAACAATATGAACTCTTAAAGACATACTAACAGCAAAAAAATTGCAATATGAGCACTGGTAAAATGGAAAACATTGAATAGTAATGGGTTTATAATACAGAAGTTCATACCCAGATGTTGACACATGGCACAGTGGATAAAGGCGTTGGTTAGAATGACAGACCCAAAGAAGGTGAGTTCAATCAGTGGAGAACTTTCAGAGGGAAAATTAGCAGGAGATAACTGATAATGACATCCATCAAACATCGTGGAAAGAACAGTCTACCCCAGCGATCGAAATAAAGGGTTCAGTCATCCAAACGTTTGACAAATTATGACAAAGATGAGGACAATAGTCCGACATTGTTCTGTTTAACAATGGCAGGATATTCATATTGCTGATGATTTTACATACTACCGAGTTAATAGTAATGTATGCAAGGTTGCACAGCAATATCAGATTACAATCCCAGATCGAAAGCAGCCAAGTCATCCAAACTTTGTTGTTAACATTGTGTTGCTGAGACAGGATCCATGGCACCACAATCTATGGATCGAGGAAGACTGAGATCCTTTTGTACATCTTACCTCAAAGAACACATTCTAGAGGTTGTTAACGATGATCAAGGAATCTGAACACCTTAAGTGGCCCTAGCATGTTGTACATTTCATAGTACCACATGAAAGGTACTTCCAGAACAGCTCCTGTATCCATATCATTTGCAAAATGTGCAGGCACTTTTGCCTTCTTATCACTCACCACATGAGAACTTTTGCAGATGGTTTATTGCACAAACTGCCAATTCGTTGTTTGTCTCTACAGTACTTTTTATGCATGAGGCAGCAGATTTATACAACCAACATTTGTGGGCAGATCAGAATCGTAATGTTACAATACAGACTAGATACTATCATCTGTTTATGATTGATACATAGGCTGGAATTTTAGGTGACTGTCTGGAAGGTCCATATGTTCTCATAGCACGTCTTACAGGAGTTGTGTGCAAGGACTTTATTTTGAACACATTTTCAGAGGATGTACCTCTGCTAATACAAAGATGCATGTGCTTCATGTGCTTTTCTGTCCATGCACCTAATACATTAATCATGTATACCGAATATTATAATCTTCTAAAATTAAATTTTCATCAGCTTAATTTGTGCATCAATTTATAGACTCTGCCGCAGGACAGTTTAAAATTTCAGTGTCTCCTCTCCTTCATGCACATGTGTGCTTACATCAACATAAAATCTCTTTATCACATTCAATGAAGTTCTAAAGGTCAAAAGGCATCACCGAAAAAAAAATCGTACACTTTTCATTAATATTCCTAACATTTTCTGTGATATAAAATGTATACATCATTTTCTACCATACATATATATGTCTATGTGTGTGTGTTTGTGTGTGTGTGTATATACATTATATATATATATATATAATGAGAGAGAGAGAGAGAGAGAGAGGGGAAGAAAAAAGAGAAAGGAATAGATAGATAGATAGATAGATAGATAGATAGATAGATAGATAGATAGATAGATAGATAGATAGATAATGAACAGGCTAAGATAGATAGATAATGAACAGGCTAAGATAGATAGATAGATAGATTGTGAATGAAAACATTTCATGTCGCTTTGTGCAGGAGAGGCTTCATTCTTCTCCTGTACATCCTTTTTCTTCCTCCTTGCACATCCTCGAGCGCTCTTCTCTACCCCAGCCCCATCCATTGCCAGCATTTTCACCGGTCAAATACGAAGAAGCGCGTTGCTTTCCTAGCTTTATGAATCGCACTGATGGCGAGGGCACGGGTCACTCCAGAATAAATCCCATTCTTCCAGGATATATATTGATTATTTTTCTCCACGAGTTTGGCCCTTCCTTTCTGTTCAGCCGGCCGAGCATGTGCATCTAGAATGAAGAGCGTAAGGAGTCGATATAATAGCTTGCAAAAGCCCACCCCTTGCAAGATGCATAATCGGACGCGCTCGCAAGAAATGCGCCAATGCAAAGTGGCATTCGTAAAGTGGCTCTTTCTATCTGCTGCTTACACTTTGTATAATTTGGATGGGTTTTAATTTGGACAAGGACTGGTCGAAACGTTAAGAATATCCCGTTGATAATGAGGAGAAGCGTTCAGTTCAGATGAACCATTTGTAGGTAATTTGGATCTTTTCATCCAATCTTTGAGCTCCATTGCATTTGAAACGAGGATGTTTTCTAGAGATTGTCTAGCAAGGGAAAATAATCATATTTCAAAACTGCTTTCATGAAAACAAGGAAGAAAGGCAGAAAAGGTGACTTGACAGTTAAAAGAATGGATGAAGGAAAAGAAAGAAAAAAAGGAAGTATGAGAAAGGAATTGGAAAGAACGTAAAAAGTAAAATGAAAGAATGGCGGAGAGAAAAGGGGGAGCAGAGAGAAGATGAGGAAAAAGAATATAAGGAAGAGAAAAGGAGAAAAAAAACAATGCAATGGATTGAATGAAGGACGATAGAAAGAGAAGAAAAACGAGAGAGTAGGAAAGAAAGAATTGAAGAAGGAAAAAGAGGAGAGGGAAAGACAGAAAAAAAGAAGGAGAAACGGATTAAAAATGAGAGGAAAAAGTAAGAAAAGAAAAACGAAAAAGAAAATGAAAAGAAAGAAGGAACTAAGTGTGGAAGAAAAGGCGAAAGAGAAGGAGAATTGGAAAGAAAGGGCGGAAGAAAAAAAAGAAGGAGAGGTAAAACAACAAAAAAGAATTGTTGAAAAAGATAGAAACGAAGAAGAATCGCAAGGAAAAGAAAGACAGATTGAGGAAAGAAGAGAAGGAGGAAGAAAATGAAAAGAAGCATAATGGAAAATAGGATGCAAGTAAAGAAGAAAGTGAAAAAAAAAAATTGTAAAGAAGCAAAGGGGAAAATAAGCAGTAAGTAACGGGAAAACTTAAGAATGGAAAGAATGAAATAGAAAAGGAAATAAAGAAGAATTCGAAAGAAGAAAAAAAAGGAAGGATTTACGTGGGAAAAGGGAGAAGAAAAATGTTAAAAATAAAAATATATGAGAATTAAATAATGAACGAGACAGGGAAGGGGAAAAAGAAGAAGAAAAGATGGATTGTAAAAAAGACAAGGAAGAGAGGGATAAATGAAAAGGATAAATGAAAGTAGGATTAAAATAAGGAAAAGGGAGAGAAAAAGAATCGAAAAGAAAAATAGAAAAGAAGCTGAAATTAACAAAAATAGAGGGGGGGATTTAAAACAAATTCAGATGAGAATAGAGAACAGATGAAATTGGTGAAAATGGATATTAAAAATGAAGGTTCGTAGAATGAATAGATGCGCTGCACTGCTGAAGGCAACACGAACTGACTCTATTTGCGTTGGTTATGGGAGAGAGCTTGAGTTTGGCGAAGCACTTAATTGTCCACTCAATGAGGATGTCTACTCACTTCTTTGGCTGTTTGCTTCGTTTCATTTTCTTCAGCACAGCTCTATGGCCTTAAAAATCCCATAAGGTCTTGTTCATCTTCATGTAGAACGTGTTGGACAAAAAGAGACTGAAGGGACATAACCCCTCCGCCTCTGACCACTACCGGATACTTTCACAGAGATTACTTAAGGAAAGATTTCAGAAAGAAAAGAAAGGTAAAAAGATTACTTTGAAAAAGCATTGGAGAAAGAAGAGGAAGAAGGAGAGAGATTATTTTTTTTTTAAATGGCGGATTAAAGAAAAAAGGGAAGAAAAGAGGTGAATTTAAAAAGTGTGGATAAAAAAAGGACTAAAGAAAGGAAAATGTTTAAAAATACTTAAAAATTAAAAATTAGGACAAGAAAAGTAAAAGGGAGAGAGAAATCAAAGATAAGTAAAGATGAAAAATGAAAAGGAAGAAAAAAGGATACAGTAAAAGACGGACGATTTAAAGACGGGAAAGGAAAAAAATAAAAGGAAAAATTAAGAAAGAAATACTTACGAAGCAAGAGTAATAGAAAGAAAAGGATGAAAGAGAGAAAAAAGAAAGAGGGATTCAAAAAAAAAAAGAAAAGGAAGAATAAAAGCAGAATTTAAAAGGAGGTTGTATTCAATAAAGAAAATGAAGAAAAAGGAAAACGCTTAGAAGAATGAATTTGAGAAAGAAAAGGTTTAGAAGGAAAATAATTGCTAAGAAGGAAGAATTAAAGAAAATAAATGTTATATACCGTACCTCTGAACACAAATAGGTATGTCTCAGGTAGGCTTTCCTACCGCCCGGTCCACACTCCTCCCCCTTCTCTTGGACATGAGTAGAGGCTTACGCCTTGTTTCTTGTTTAGGAAGGGGTTTCCGGTACTCTCTCTCTCTCTCTCTCTCTCTCTCTCTCTCTCTCTGGCCTCTATATCTCCAGTTGCCTTGATCTATCCACTACTCTTCTCCTCATCCTTTCTTCTATCACTCCTATCTGACCTTGCTACAAATTTTCTGTAACCCCTTGCGTCCTAGTGGCTTTCCGCCTTGCTTGGGGTGAAACTCTTAAAAAAAAAAAAAAATTCTCATAAATACGTTGGACACCATTGTAAGTGGGGGTAGTCTGCTATCTAAGTAGTCCATCGCTAGCAGTGGTTTACCTACTTCACGCCGCTGGCGAGTATTGTATTTTGTTGATGTTATAAAGATTACCATTTCATTTCCAACCTCCGTTTTGGTTATTCCTCATTCAGTAACCCTTTCTAGGTTACGACAGAAAGAAAGAAAGAAAGAAAAGAAAGAAAGAAAGAAAGAAAGAAAGAAAGAAAGGACAATGATAATAGAAAGAGAGAGAGAAAGAAAAACGATGATAATAGAGAGAGAGAGAGAGAGTGGGTGAGTGAGAGAGAGAAATTGCTAGAGAAACAAAGACGGTAAGAGGAAGAGAGAAAAGAAGAGGCAAAGAAAGAAAGAAAAAAGAAAGACGGTGTTATATATCGTACCTATGAACACAAGTACCGGGAACCCCTTCCTAGACAAGAAACAAGGTGTAAGCCAACCCCCCCCCTTCTATTGGACATGAGTAGAGGCTTACACCTTGTTTCTTGTCTAGGAAGGGGTTCCCGGTACTCTTTCTCTCTCCGGCCTCTCTATTAGTGCAGCTCTGTTTCTCCCGTGATGTGTGCAGTCTGTGGCAACATCTCTTCATTCTGAGGGTACACGGTTGACAGTTCTCTGGTTGCTGTTTCCGACTGGTAGTTAGGAGCCCTAACTCTTGCGTAGCGTCTTGAGCGGCTGCTCTGATCAACAGTTGTATAATACCGGGGTGTTTGTAGTGCCATGTCGCGCACGGAACGGTGTCCCTGCAGTCACCTCCGGTGGGCAGCCCTGAGGCCACATAATGATGCAGATTTTGCCAACTCCTCTCTGCCCGCGTCACGTTCGAAACTCTGTTTTTTTTTTTACTTCGGGCCTTCTCATCTTACAAACAAAATTCAATATGAGTTACAAAAACCGAAAGATTAACCCTAAACCAGCCTCTCAAAAACCACCTAAACCCCTCAACATTTCGTTCTCCAACATCCGGGGCATTAGGACAAACTTCTGCAGTCTGGAATCTTTCCTCACTGCAAACGGCCCGGATATACTGGCTCTCTGTGAGACAAACCTTGTCTCGTCTATCCCCTCTTCTGATCTCTCGATCCCCGGCTATCTTCCTCTCTTCAGAAAATACTCTCTAACCTACATGCACGGTCTGGGTGTCTACGTCAAGGAACATCTCTCTCTGGCCAGAGAGTTCTCTCTCGAATCGCCAGACCAGTCATACGTGTCTCTCTCTCCTCAATGCGGTAAGCTATCTCTTCTTCCTTCACCGCTCTCCATCCTCTCAAGACTGTGAGATACTCGATAGCATTTCTGACAGCATAGACAAGGCTCTCTCCCTCCAACCGTTTGCTCACATTTTTGTGTTTGGTGTCTTTAACGCTCATCACACCTTGTGGCTTAAGAATGCTACTACTGACCACGCAGGCATTCAAACGCTCAATTTTTCAATAGTTAACTTCCCCACTCGTTTTGCCTTCAACCGGGAAGGTAAAGCCTCTCTTCTCGACCAGTGCTTTACCTCCATCCCCAAATCCTGCAGCGCCTCGCAACTCTGCCCTCTTGGTAACTCAGTTAACATCTCCTTCAATTCCACCCCCTATAAAGAACCTCCTATCACTAGAACTTCGTTCTACTATCAACGAGCTGACTGGGACGCGTTCCGTGATTTCCTCCGCGATGTCCCCTGGGATGGAGTCTTTAAGCTCCCCGTCCAAGAATGTGCTTCTGAGGTCTCTTCCTGGGTTAAAGCTGGAATCGACGCGTTCATCCCATCAAGGAAATATAGCGTCAAGTCGCGCTCCTCCCCCTGGTTCTCGGCTGCTTGCTCAGCCGCCATCGCCCATAGGAACCACTACTTCCACCTATTCCGTAGCGTCATGTCTGACTGCAATAGACGTCTCTTTGCCTCCGCTCGTAACGAATGTAAGCATGTCCTCAACGATGCTAAGTCACTATTTGCGGCTCGGATGAAGGAACGTATTGCATCTCGCAAATTTGGCTCCAAAGATTATTGGCGTCTCTGCAAGAGCGTATTGAACAATTGCAAACCCTCTATACCTCCTTTATTCAACCAGTTCGAAGTCCTGACCTCCTCTACCGACAAGGCTGAATGCTTTGCTCGGAAATTTTCATTCAACTCGACGCTCGACTCTTCCGGTGTACCCATACCCAACTTCCCTCTTAGAACTGAGGCCATATTGAGTGGGTTAAACTTAACCCCATCTTTGGTACTGGCCGTTATCTCCAATTTAGACTCCAACAAGGCTAGTGGTGGAGACGGGATACCAGCCATTGTCTTGAAGAAATGCGCGCCTGAACTGGCGCCCGCCCTTTCTAAACTATACAACTACTGCCTCAAGGAATTTTGTGTTCCTGACTGCTGGAAGTCCTCTTCGATCGTTCCTGTCTTCAAGAACTCCGGCGACCCCTCTGACCCTTCCAGCTACCGTCCTATCAGTCTCCTTCCCCTCTTCGGCAAAATCTTCGAAGCCCTAATCAATACCGGGGTGGTTGACCACCTCACATCCCATAATCTGCTCTCAGACAAGCAATATTGTTTCCGCTTTGCCCGATCTACAGCCGATGTGCTTACGGCCATCACTGAAACAGTCTACCGAGCTCTTCAAAATAACGGGGAAGCCCGAGCCGTGGTACTAGACATCTCCAAAGCATTTGATAGGGTTTGGCATGCCGGCCTTCTTCGCAAACTCGAGGGTTATGGCATTACGGGTCGATTATATAACCTAATACGATAATTCCTGTCAAACCGTGAATTGAAGGTCGTTCTCAACGGATTCTCCTCCTATCCCACGAACGCAGGTGTTCCTCAAGGCTCCATCCTAGGCCCCACTCTATTCCTTATCTACATAAATGACCTTCCTGACGCCATAACTTCCCAAGTCGGCATCTACGCGGATGACACCACAATTTATTAATCACCACGGAGATCCTTCCCTCCATTAGAATGTCTGACGCTCATCTTCTCCAGAGCAACTCTCTGTGGCTTCTTGGTCTCACGTTGACTGCTGACCTGAGATGGAATAAATACATTGAGTCAATTGCCTCGTCCACCGCAAGGAAAGTTGGCTCCCTGAGCCGCGCTAGGAAGTTTTTCTTCCCGGAGTCGATCCTCCAGATCTACAAATCAACAATTCGCCCTTGCATGGAGTATTGCTGCCATATATGGTATGGTGCCCCTTCTGTTTGCCTCGGGGTTCTTGATAGGCTCCAGAGGCGGATATGCAATGTAGTTGGCCCTGCCCTGGCGTCTCGTCTACAGTCACTTTCTCACAGACGCGCCGTCGCCTCCCTCTGTCTGTTCTACAAATACTTTCATGGAAATTGCTCCGAGGAGCTACATTCGCTGGTTCCCAGACGTCATGAGTTCCAGCGCCTTACGAGGCTGGCATCACGCTCTCACCCGTTCACTGTCGAAACTCCTAAATGTAGCCGTCTCTTCTACTCCAATAGCTTCATGTCTCGCACCTCTCGCCTGTGGAACTCCCTTCCCTATTCCTGTTTCCCTGTGAGCTATAATCTCCAGCTATTCAAATGTAATGTCAATCGACATCTCCAGTTGCCTTGATCTATCCACTACCCTCATCCTTTCTTCTATCACTCCTATCTGATCTTGCTCTAAACTTTCTGTAACCCCTTGCGTCCTAGTGGCTTCCCGCCTTGCTTGGGGTGAAATGCTTAAAAAAAAATAGGTATGTCTCAATTCTCATAAATACGTTGGACACTATTGTAAGTGGGGACAGTCTACTATCTAAATAGTCCATCATTAGCTCGGGCCTCAGGGTTGGACATTGAGGATGTGGAGATAAATGATTGATCGGAACTCCATTGACAATCCCTTTCTACACTGTTCGGCCCAACATTGCTGACCCAGATCACTAATGCCCAGTCCCGAGTCCCGAGCTATGGTGTCTGGAAAAGCCAATTTTCGTCAGAAGACACTTCCAGAGGGATGCCAAAGAACGAGATGGTTTTATTTAATATTTTATAACTTTTATGTTCCTGAACTCTTTATTTAATCTACGTGGGGAGACAGTTCACGTTCCACTGCCCATGTTGAAATATATGTATGGTTGAATTCAAAATTACTATTTCACCGAATTCACTAACCACTTAGTGGATTAAACCGTTGGTTCGTGAATATGACATAGCAAATGGGAGTTCAATCCCGGAAAAGGACAGTGCGTACTTGGACTCATTGGAAACAGGACGAGCAATAACTGAATACTAGAAAAAAGAAGTACACGAGATATCCGTAGATAAGGTCAGTAAAACTACAAATAAAGGGTTCATTTCGGAATTCCCTGTAGGTTCCTTATTCCAATGTGCCTTTCTGTTAAAATACTCCCCAAACAGCTTCATATCAGGACTCGCTTGATTCTTACATCGCCCACTGGTAGCTCGCTTTTTGGGAGGTTCCTTTTGTTGACAACCATATTTTTCGATTTCTTACAATTAGTGATTAATCCTTTCTTTCCCCTTTTCCTTTACTACTTTTCCTAGTACTTCTTGCAATTTTCCTTTTTGTCTGCCATCAGCACAGTGTCATCTGTGTATCTAATATATAAAGTACAGTGTATGTGTGTGTGTTTGCGCGTTTGTGTGTCCAAGCAACTCCTCCGCTGCCACTTGTCCGATTTCAAAGATTCATAGCTCATTCAAAAGCCCTGGAAAGGTTAGGCACATGGAACGATTTTCGTTGAGCTCAGATTCAGAGTTGCCAGATAAATATATTGTACTAACCATTATCGTTGCTTAAAATTTTAAGCTAATTTAAAAGCAGCTCTGTCGGGCGGCATTTAAGCTACCTCCTGTCGAGGACTCTTGGTTTGGCCATCATCACAATAGCTAGGGAGGAGTAGATGCAATAGGCATCAATAAACTACAGAAGAACTCAAAAATTGATCGCTTCATTTAAGTATTGAATTAATGTTTAAGCGTACCTTTTAAAAGTTCAATGATAATTCTTCTGCTGCCACTTAATTTAAAGACAATTTGATGTGCGTAGATCCTTATTTTCCATTATTTACTTTATTCGGACTATTGTCCTCATCTTTGTCGCCATATTTATCACAACGTTTCAGACATTAGGTTTATAATACCCAGATGTCCTCAAGGACAGATGGCACAGTGGATAAAGGCGTTGGTTAGATCCAGTGACAGGACCCAAAGAGTGTGAGTGTGAGTTAAGGCAGTGGAGAACTTTCAGAGGGAAATTAACAAGAGATAACTGATAACTGATATCCATCAAACATGGCACGTGGAACTAGAACAGTCAACCCCGGTGAGCGAAA